TTTTTTTTTTTTTTTTTGTTTTGTTTTGTTTTCCTGGAAAATTTACGGTAGACCATATCGAAAAGCTGTAAAAAAATTATGATCACTAACTCTAAATATTAAATTTTTTACTTATGAGTACAAGTCACATTCGTAATGAAGATTAAGACTGGTGAATTTCACCGGCAAAAAAAGATAAAATAAAAAACATAAAAATGGGTACATAAAAAAAACATAAAAACAAAGCAATATAAATTAAAAAAATTATCAATAAATAATTAAGTAAACTACTATTCATTGACTACCCACTCAGTCAAGGTAAGATAAAAGCTAAGAATCCAAAGACAATTTTATTCTTTATAGATTTTTCATAGGTTATACACCTAATCGAATTGCTGAGTACAAATCGTTGAAGTTCTTTGCAATATAAATAACCAAAAAATAAATTAAAAATAAAAAACTACTGAGAGAGATATGAAATGAATTTGATGCATATTTTTGTGCTTGTAATTCTTTTCAAATAAAATCAGTTACATTAGAAGATACTTTGTAATTAATTTGAAATCATTCAAATTAAAAATAATACAGTTGTAAAGAAATTAAGAAATTAACACAGCTGCACACATGATTGTGGTAGAGAAGACAAATGTGAAGTATCGAAACGAAAGTCAACAATGTTGCTGCGCTTTACACGCGGCCATATGGAAGAGACCGGTCGTATAATGCCACGTAAAACTTGAACAAAACCATTCGTTGCGTGTCAAATTAAGAAGCAGACGTCTAAAAGGCTTCACAGCATAAAATGGAAAATTAGAAGAGCCATTCAAGGTAGTTACAAAAGTCTCTCTCTCTCTCTCTCTCTCTCTCTCTCTCTCTCTCTCTCTCTCTCTCTCTCTGTTATAGGTCTATGTCTCTCTCACTAAACAGAAGGATGGGAGGGTAAGCGGTCTGAAATATTTCATGATTATGATTATCAAAACCATTAAATTTATCATAAATTTTATTACTATTTACTATTATTCGTTTGAGTTTTGAGGGGGGAGGGGGCGTTCATATAAGGGCTCTAAAAATAACTTTGACACCGACCGCAGCATGCATGTCTGAGACTTCAGACGTCCTAAAAGTTAACAGATTGAAGTTTATTAAATTAATCTCTATAGTACATATACAATGTTGTTCATGGGCTTGTGTAGAACAACTGGACAAGCAAAACTAAATATTCTACTTGTGCATTTGACAATCAGACATGCACTCTACTATGCATTTGACACTTAATTAACTATGATTAATAAAAGTTAATTACTAGTATTTTCCAATTTCTTCTCAGGAACAAGTATGTTTTTCATTGGATGGGTTTTATGTCTTCTAGAAAATTGATTACTAATTTAAAACAGTTTGTCAGTTTTGTGCAACTGGATTTAGCATATGGATTGAGAGAAATGATATTTTCATACATTTCAGGAGTGAAGAATTGCACAGGAGCCCAGACCATACATCTTAAAGAAGACAGTTGATTTGATATTTTCATAACCCATTGAAAAGATTCAAAAGACGATCAGTTATTGTGACTTGACAAATTTTAATGTCATCCTACACTCCAAGTCACAAAAACAAGTGCAGTAGAAACATAGGTCACAAGATTAACAGGGGCCACCCTTTTACTTCACAATGTCCAGAAAAAGAGTCAGTTCAGAAAATAGTCAAATGAATCGTAAAGTACATCATCTGATGTCCAATGACGATGCGGAGTCGGAAATGATATTTCAGCATGCACCGCTCCACATGCATCTGCCGAGCAAAGAGAGAGAGGAGCGGGGCGGTGAAGAAGAGGAAGAAAATGAATCGCAAAATCACAGCCTTGACGGTGACAGAGGCAGTATACTCTTACTCACATTTCTTTACGTACTTCAAGGAATTCCACTCGGACTTAGCGGCAGCATTCCAATGATTCTCTCTAGTCGCCACGTCAGTTACAAAGACCAGGCGAAATTCAGTTTCGCATTTTGGCCATTCAGTGTGAAACTCCTCTGGGCACCCATTGTGGACGCTGCCTATTTCTCCAAATTCGGACGTCGTAAAACGTGGCTGGTTCCGACACAGTATCTGATTGGACTTTTTATGATTATACTCTCCTTGCATATATCAGACGTTTTAGGAGAGAATGAGGGCGAGAACAGCAATGTGAACGTAGGGTTTTTGACAGCGGTGTTTTTTGCCATGAACTTCTTGGCAGCTACTCAGGATATAGCAGTAGATGGATGGGCTTTAACTATGTTGTCTAGGTAAGTATGTTATGTAATACACTGTCATGCCAATGTATCCACATGGTTCTCCTAGTGCCTATCTTACTGTCAGACCTAACGCACTGACACACTGTTATATTGCACACATACCAAGCATATGTCTCTTGCTAGATCTCACAATGAATTTTAATTGCATACAAAGATTATTAACAAATAAAGTTGAAATAATTGAATTTTTAAAAAAATTCCTAACGGCAGTTGAGTTATCACCATTTTGAAGTTTCCTTTTTTACATTATGAAAAATATTTCAACATTAAAATTAAGAGATGCATCTGATAGTTGTTGAAAAAAGAATATATACTTGCTGTTGTGTTTATTTCAGACAGTAAAATAACAGCCTACAGATCTAGGAATGTGGTATTTGTCACATCCCTAGTCTTGGAAATAATACATTTCTTTATTATTTTAAGTAATATTGTACTGGTATGCTATTTCTCAAGGTGTCAACTACAAATGTGTTATGAAATATTCAGTTGGGATAACACTTAAAGAAAAGAAAAAAGTGTGCTTGGGAAATTGAAAAGAAAAGATGTTTGTTGCTTGTGTGTCGGCCAATAGTTGTGCTTTTCTTTTTGAATGCATCATTTCTATGTTTTAACAGTTTGTATAAGGCATGCAATCCAGTTGTCAGTAGTTTTGACGTTGCCTCTAAACAATTTAAATAAATACTTTTTAGAAAAAATGTTGGCTGGGCCTCCACTTGTAACACTGTAGGACAGACGGCAGGCTATTTTCTAGGAAATGTAGTATTCCTGGCCCTGGAATCTCCTGACTTCTGCAACAAATATCTCAGAAATATTCCTCAGAAGGAAGGCCTGGTCACTCTTGGAAGTAAGTGTTTAGCATCTGTGTGTCTTTTTATTACTGATTTTGAGTCATTAATTATATCTTTATTGTAAGCAGTATGCTAACAGTACTAGTACATGTCGATTTTTGAAATTTTCAGAAATGTTTATGAGACAGAGAACAGGTGCAGTTGTATTTATTCAGCACAAAACACCTACTGTATTTAGACGGGTACCCAAGTAAACATTACTGACAAAATCAAACAATGAAGACATTTTTTGTTCAATTTCAGGCTTCATGTATTTCTGGGGCATTGTGTTTTTTATCACAACAACTTTGGTCGGTCTTTTCAAGACAGAAAAACCAAATGAAGATGCTGACCAAGATCAAACTATAGCGGACACTTATAAACAGCTGGTTAAGATTATCAAATTACCTGCTGTTAAGACATATATTGTGATTTTATTAACAGCCAAGGTAGGTGAACGTAGCAAAACTGTCAAAATATTTATTTTATAAAATGAAACAAATGATAATTTATTAAAAAACAATTTTATATTTGATTTCAATATAATCTAACAACAATGTGTTACATTTATCTGGGTAAAAGTTTTATTTATTTTACCATTTTTTTAGCACCAAAACCCAATTTCTGTATCAATTATAAAACTAAGTCTGGTATAATTTCATCTCTTCTGTTGCTGTGACTTGAGGTCTTGACTCTATTGGCATTGAAACATATATTACTGATATTACAAAATATTAAAAATATTAGTTTGTGTCATTTGAGACCCCACATCATTTCCAAACTCATCTGATCAACTTATTTCAACTTTATAATTCAAGATCGGCTTTGCAGCTGCAGATGGAATTACTGGCTTGAAGCTAATCGAAGCTGGCGTGCCAAAGGAACGCCTGGCTCTCCTTGCAGTTCCTATGGTCCCCATAGAGATAATACTCCCTCTGTTACTAAGTCGCTACACAGCAGGTCCGAGACCCATGGATGTATTTATTAAGGCAATGCCTTGGAGGTGAGTTGGGCTTTGTATGCTTTCTCAGTTCCCTGGACCAAATATGGCTGACCCACTCGAAAGCTAGCCATGTTATCCCTTAAGGGGAAGCTATCCAGTGTCTGTTAAGGGATTATGGGACAAGCTTTCAAGTGGGTCAGCCATAGTATTTGATCTGTGGGTCTGTTAGTCCGTGGATCAACTCTGTTGTGAATGCGGCATCAGGCACAGGAATGAAAACATTGGGCAAATATGTACATGCCACAATATGCTACATAAACATGCTTGCCAGCAATTTCAGACACAAGCATTCACATTTTCAGTAAATATAGAACTTTTTGTTTGCTGAATGTTAAGCCCAGAACTACTAAAGTAACTTGATATACATGTATCTAGTATGTAAATGTTATAGGATGTTTATCTCTCACAGTGATTTTCTTGACTTCCAAGTCCTCAAATCCCTCATTTATAAATATTTCAATATCTTAAAAGATTAAATAACTCAAAAGAAAGTTAAATTTTATCTTTCAAAATGTCTGTGCCTGGATATTTTACAGATGCAAACATTGAAAGACAAGAAAAATTAAGAAATTAAGATATATTTTTTCAAAATAATAGGCATTGGACATTTAGAAAATATCCTGATTTCCTATTATATTAACAGAAAATTAACATTCAAGTTTGATGAATTATTCTTTTTTTAATTCTGTATCTTCAGATTAGTCATAGGATTGATATATGCTGTATTGGTGTGGTGGGCCCCATCAACACAGATGGCGTCTGGGGAATTCCCGCTTTATTTTTATGGAGTGATATTGTTTTTCTTTGCCTTACACCAGGTAAGACTTTATCCTTTCTGTCTTTCTTTTTCTTTTATACAATACATCTTTTAGATTTTGAAGAAGCTTAATGGAAAGGGAACTGAAGGCACTGGGGATAGTTAGATCAAATTTTTGAATATATCACTTATTTGGTATCTTATTTTTTGAAAGATTTACTGCTAATTATGGTTTACAATAAAAGTTATTACTTGAAATTACTGACATTGTCTATGAATTATTAAATGTCTCCGACATATTGTAGGTAGTCTTAGAATTGAAATGTTTCATATTTATGCCAAAGTTCTGTTTGATTTGAAAGTCATCATATATATTATTGATTTTCTACATTTTCAGGTGGCAGTTTATAGTATGTTTGTGTCCACAATGGGGTTCCATGCTAAGATCAGTGATCCAGCTATAGGTGGTACCTACATGACACTACTCAATACTTTGTCTAATCTAGGTAAGTCAGCTTTTCTCTCTCTCTCTCTCTCTCTCTCTCATCTGCCTTTTCCCTCAATCGTCTCTGTGTCTCTCTTTCTGTTATCTTCCCAGTCCTCCATTTTCATCTTCTCATCAGCCTCAGTTTGTCTTTTTGTCGATGGTCAATATATCTGAAAAAAAATCATCATGGATTGTGATTTAATTTTAGGATAGTCAGTTATGGGAGGGGGGGGTGATTACAATATTATTCTATCTGAATCTGGGTCTTGTAACATTTTAACAGAATTAATTTTATCATAATTTGTTGATTGAATATATTTACATTTTGCCTTATTTATACACAGTATTATAAGCACCGAGTTAGACATCGCAACTTTTCTACTTTTCTCTTCAGGCGGGAACTGGCCCACCACAGTAATGTTATGGTTCGTGGATTCACTCACATGGAAAACATGTTCTGGTTCAATAGGGCAGTGCAACAATGCTGCAGAAGAAAAGGTGATTTTTTAGAGATGAAAGTTGGCTTTTGAGCAAAGTCCAGAAAATGCAAGCGCCAAAGGCAAACAGTTATATATGGGGGGATGTGTCCAGTAAAGATATAAACAAAAAAACATCAGACTGTCAGAAATTCCAGATAAGTCTTAATGACTGTCATCTGTAAATTTTAAAGCTAAAATTCCTCATGTTTACATTTCGAATGAAAACAGAAACTATAGCAGATAGTTTTTGGACTTGAATGATAAAATAATCATAAATACCTTGACTGATTATTTTTTATCTTTGTGTTGCTTTTTTTGTCTTGATAGAAATATTTGTCATTTGATTGGACTATTACATGTGATTTTGTACTTAGTCTAGTAATTTATTTTTTATTTACAGCTTTTATTTCATATTTTCACCTGATACATACATTTATCTTATGTCAGTAATACCTATTTCAACACATGGAAATGTTGTCAACAAGTTATTTATTTATTTCCAGCTGTGCACGGATTCAGGAGGAAAATGCATCACGTCATTGGACGGCTATTACGTAGAGTCACTGGTTTGTTTCTTTATTGGTTTCGCATGGCTTTGGTGGCAAGCCAGAAAAACGAAGAGACTACAAGGATTATCAGAAAAAGACTGGAAATGCAGCACTTGATTGATAATTGTTTATTAAATTTTTTGTGAAATAAGTTATAAGGATAGATATATTCTTTAAAAGGAAAAATATATCTGAATAAACCTGAATCTAAGTTACAGCAGCAGATCCAGTATCCTGGGAAGATTAACTTGTTGCCTTTCTCACTATGATAGGGTATTATTGAAAAAAGACTTATTGAAAAAAGACTAATCACATCTTCGGCATGGCTAACAGCAGCCATTAAGAAATAGGGTTCAGTTTCACTGCCTTTTAGGTTCAGACTAATTTACCTGTAACGGGTCAAATTATACAAAAATGCTGTCACTGCGCACACGTGAAATGTGACATGTCACAGACAGTTAAAGGGATAATAACTCTTCGTTTCGGCCAAAAAATGAGTTTTCCTGGAGTAAACAACAATTTTCCGATACTTACCAATGGTTAATGAATCCATTTTTACATTCAAAGTTAGTCTCTGTTTTTTTTTCTAAAAAGTTTGGTTTTTTGTTATTTAACAGAGTATTGCCATCAATCGAGGTCAAGTGGTCTAAAGACAGCTCAGATATCAGAAAAATAGCTGTAACTGCCGTTTTTGTGGTAAAACAGAATATATTATATTTCTATGAGTTATTCACAATGTTTTTATTGTGAAATATAGATCTCATACGAAGAGTTATTATCCCTTTAAGTGTGAACATGTAACATTTTTTGCAAAAATACTGTAAAAGGGCACACTAAAATTGAAACATTATATCAGAATTATCTTTTTGTCTAACTTGAGATTACTAAATTGTCACAGAAATAATGTTGTCATAGATAATTAATTTACACAGTCATACAGTTGTAAAAATTGATTTTCTGTGGTGCATGTACATATTTATTACCTCTACCAAGGAAGCCATTATGTCGTCACCTTTGATTCCTTTTCTGTTAATCACTATCCTAACTCAAAAAAAGATGGATTTTGATGGAATTTTTCAGGATAAGTCACAAATGGGCAATCGGAAAAGTGATAAGATTTTGGTGAAGAACTTTTAATTTAATCAATGGTTAATTATTAGTTAATTATTGGAGGAGGTCTGACATCTTTGAGGGTTTTTCTTTCCAGTTTATGTTTGAAACATGATTTAAGAGCACATTCAGAATAGCAAACTAACAGATCTGCAAATCAAATATGGCTGACCCATCTGAATACATGTAGCATTTTTCCAGCGGGAATCTATTCAGTGTCTACTGGGAATTAAGCGACAAGCTTTTGAGTGGGTCACCATTTTTGATCCACAGATCTGTTAGTCTGCTGTTCTGAACATGCTCTAAGATGCAGTGTTTTATGTTAAGTTGAACACTTAGATCTGGTCTTTATTTATTTTTAACACTATATCCAAGTTAGGCTTTTGTGGCTGATTTGTTTTAAAAGCATCACATTTTGATGAGTGGAGCAATGACCAAAGCTGAAATTAGTCAGACCAAATACCATGGTGTCGGAGTCTGCAATGCCTTGTTGTTTATTTGTTATACATGCTGTTTTGTGCTACACTGCTTTTTTAGATGTTGAGATTTAATTATGTAACTTTCTTGGGTTATAAGTTAATTCTTAAAATGAGAGAGAGCCTATGGAAAGTTAGGGTATGGCATTATAAAGTGTAACATTCCAGATAAAATCACAAACTGTTTGATAGAAATTTAGTATTTTATCCATGGATGTAGAAGAACCCTCCCCAAGGGCACAGAGAACTCTTTATTTCACAGAATGGAGACAAGCATCGGGTGTATGGATTTCAGGCTTGATGGCAGTAAACTGGTTTGCCCTTACAATATGGAGGAATTTGTGAATCATTTTAAGAGATGGAGTTTTTTTGTGTCATTTCCAAAAATTACGATACTGGTAGCTACATTCTAAAAATCTTTTATTTTGTTAAAACTTGCGTCCTGCTCATTTTGATCCATAAGTTGAGCAAAATGTATACATTATGTGTTTAAGGAAATTACTGTACTATTGACAAAACAAAAAAATATTTAATAAGAATTCCAGTAAATTTAATTAATTTGAGAAATTATTACAAGCAGAACACATTTTATACTCATCAACATTATATATATATATATATATATATATATATATATATATATA